GTGAACATGATTTAGGTACAAAACAACTGAGAAATCATTCCTATTTTTACTTTCTTCTATTAAACTCACATAAAGGCAGGGGAAAGAAAAGTCCTTGTTCCTTTGAAGAGCTGCTTGTAGGACAACGGTGCAAATAGCTCTGAGAGACCTTCAGACTGGACTGCAATGTCCTGGTATAAAGTGAATCCAAAAGGCATAATGAGGCAAAGAAGGCATACCTAACTGAAAAATAAATGTGCTATAAAAGTGTTCAATGTCATCCTGAAGCCTGATTTGGGACCGTGTCTTTTAGTCTCTATCATCTTTCTCAGCAATCTGGAATAAAATAATTGTGGTTTAAAAAAATAATCGATTTAGTGCTATGAAAATCAGTTTGCTGCAGGTGGTAATTAATTACATTGGAACAAATGTCCTAACAACAGGGTAGAAAAGGCTGCTTAATGCTCCCTGCACAACAGATGGCAGATGTCTATACAAATCCAGGGCCAACTGTACTTAAAACACAAAGGGAATGTCTCACACAATGAATGGCAAAGCCAGTCAACTAATTGCAGGCTAGGGTAAACATGCATTGATTGAATAGAAATTTCTGTTAATGCTAGCATCTTATGCCCCTCAGATCTCACCTGGGCTTGGCCACTTAAACACCAGCTGTCCTCATTATTTCTAGCCCACAAGTCTTTATTCATGCAATCTTTTAATGGTTAAACAGCTAAAACTGGATTAATTGGGGAAATGTAATCTGGTTACTGTCAATTAGGAGGCTGTTTATCCAGACTGTGGTGGCTCTGTAGCAAATTGCTAGTCTCGGGGAGTGAGGGAAGAGAAAGGGAATTATAAATACTGCATTTATCCACAACTTTCCTCTTTTAAGCAAATATTTCACCATTAAAACATGGGGCAGAGGAATGAGGAAATTTACTTAAGTAAAACCAACCATCCACACAATTTATACATCCCACTCCAAACTTCTGAAAGCTTGGTCATATTTGTTGAAAATGCTGAATGCCCCTTTTGCTGAAGTTCCAAATTGCTCTGTTTGAGAAGTAAGCTCCTTTCATAATACTTTCTGGGAAAAGGATCATTCACGTTACAACCACTGTGAACAAGCCTTCAGAAGAACTTCTGCTAGCCTCCACCAAAGCAGTAGGTATAGGATTGGATTTAGAACTACAATGGACCTCAGAGATCATAATAATCCATTCTCACCAAAATGCCCCCCACACCCTCCACATAAAAACACACAGTCTTACAGACAACTTAACTAAGGACCTAAAAGGTTAAGTGTTTCACCTAACATCACAAAAGTAGGACATAACAGACACAGCAAGGCAGTTTGAACCCAGGATAACCAACTCTAAAGTTTGTAGCTGTGGGAAAATTGATTGCTTTGTTTGAACCTCACCCTTGCATGGCTGAGAGACCAGACCTGTTGCTTGGAGACCAGATTTGTTTAACACTTAACTCAGGATTCCAGGTTATGCTGACCAAAAAAATTTTCCAGAGAGCAAAAGATCGATGCAAGGCAAGTAAGGAGTTTTCTTTCTCCCATAGTACATCTCAAGCAACCCATATGTCTGTCTTATCTGAAAACTGCCTCTGACTAGACAAGGGTTTGTTCCTTTTTTTGAACTCTAGGTAATGTACAACTTCCAAATATGGGGGCAGTGAGCCACCCTTTTCTGCTAGACGAGTTAACAAACTTCGTTCTAAATTATTTCAGTTCTGGGTTTGTTCTCTACCAATACGGCAGCACCCCATTGCTAATGAAGGAGCACTTCCTCCAAATGCCTTTGGCAGATGGTGACCTATGCTGCTCTGACTTCTTCCAAAACTGAGAAGTCTTCAGGCAGCAATTCTCAGTCATAGCTTCAATTTAAGAAGCATTTATCTATTTTTCCTCAAATATTTTCTTTTCCCCCCAAATACATGTACAAACAATTTTTAACATTCACTGGTTTTTGGGGGATTTTTTGTTTTGTTTTGAGTTCCAAATTCTGTCCCTTCTTCTTCTTCCTCTCTGACAGGGTAAGCAATCCAATATAGGTCACACATATGCAATCATCCAAAACATCTCCATGTGGACAAACCTCAAAATTAAAAAAAAAAAAAGAAAATTGAAAAATAGTATGCTTCGATCTGCATTCAGACTGCATCAGTTCTTTCTCTGGAGACAGATAGCATTTTTCATCGAGTCCTTTGGGATTGTCTCGGATCATCGTATTGCTAAAAGTAGCTAAGTCATTCACAGTTGTTCATCGTACAATATAGCTGTTACTGTGTATAATGTTCTCCTGATTTGCTCACTTCACTTCGCATCAGTTCATGAAAGTCTTCCCAGGCTTTTCTGAAATCAGTCTGTTCATCATTTCTTGTAGCACAAAAGTATTCCATTGCAATCATACACCACGTTTAGCCATTCCACAACTGATAGGCACTCCCTCAATTTCCAATTCTTAACCACCATAAAAAGAGCTGCTATAAATATTTTTGTATAAATAGGTTCTTTTCCTTTTTAAATCTCTTTGGAATTCAGACCTAGTTGTGGTATTGCTGGATCAAAGGGTATGCAGTTTTATAGCCCTTTGGGCATAGTTCCAAATTGTTTTCCAGATTAGTTAAATTAGTACACAACTCCACCAACAATGCATTAGTGTCCCCATTTTCCCAAATGCCTTCCTACATTTATCATTTTCCTTTTCTGTCATATTAGCCAATGTGATAGGTGTGAGGTGACATCTCGGAGTTGTTTTAATTTCCATTTCCCTAATCAATAGTGATTTAGAGCATTTTTTCATATGACTACGGATAGCTTTGAAATCTTTGTCCTACCTGTTCATATTCTTTGACCATTTGTTAACTGGGGAATGGTTTCTTACAATGACTTCTTATAAATTTGATTAAGTTCTCTATATATCTGAGAAATGAGGCCTTTATCAGAGACACTTTCTGTAAAAATTTCTTCCCCAGTTTTCTGCTTTCCTTCTAACTTTGGCTGCATTGGTTTTGTTTGTGCAAAACCTTTTTAATTTATATGATCAAAATTATCCTTTTATATTTTATAATGTTCTCAATCGTTTGGTTGTAAGTTCTTCCCTTATTCATAGATCCAACAGGTAAACTATTCCACTCTCTTCTAATTTGCTTATGGTATCACTCTTCATATCTAAATCATGTACCCATTTTGACCTTATCTTTGCATACGGTACAAGATGTTGCTCTATACCTAGTTTCTGTCAATAGTTTTCCCATAAGTTTTTGTTCTAAAAGCTTGGATCTCTGGGTTTATCAAACACTGAATTACTATGGTCATTTACTACAATGCATTGTGTACCTAGTCTATTCCACTGATCCTCCATTCTATTTCTCAGTCAGTACCAGATTGTTTTGATGATTACTGCTTTATAATAGTTTGAGATCTGGTATAAGTAGGCTACCTTCCTTCACATTTTTTTTTGCATTCATTCCCTTGATATTCTTGACCTTTTAAGTTCTTCCAGATGAATTTTATTTTTTTTCTAGCTCTATAAAATAATTTTTGGGTAGTTTGATTGGTATGGCACCGAATAAGATTAATTTAGGTAGAATTATCATTTTTATTATATTGGTTCAATCTACCCATGAGCAATTAATATCTTTCAAACTGCTTAGATTTGACTTTCTGTGAAGTGTTTTGTAATTGTGTTCATATAGTTCTTGGGTCTTGTCAGGCAGACTCCTAAGTATATTGTCTAGTTATCATAAATGGAATTTCTCTACCTCTTGCTGCTGGACTTTGTTGGTAATATATAGAAATGCTGATGATCCAGGTGGATTTACTTTTTTTATCCTGCAACTTTACTAAAGCTGTTAAATTATTTCAACTAGCTTTTTAGTGGACTCTCTAAGTATACCATCATATCATCTGCAAAGGGTAATGATAGTTTTGCTTCCTAATTGCCTATTCTAATTCCTTCAATTTCTTTTTATTCTCTTACTGCTATAGCTAGCATTTATAGTACAATGTTGAATAATAGTGACAACAGGCATTCTTGCTTCATCCATGGTCTTACTAGGAAGGCTTCTAACTTACCCCCAATACAGCTGTTTGCTGATGGTAAGAAGCATTTATCAAATTTATCAATTTATCTACACATTTATCTTATACACTGCTCCACTACACACATTATACAACCCGGCCACACTAACCTTCCTTATCCTTATGCACTATATATGGTCAAAGGCAACTCAGTAATGCAGCAGATAAGTGTGGTGAAAGACCTGAATTCAATTGGACCTTAGACATTTACTGTGCAACCTGTCAGCCTCAGTTTCTTCACCTGTTAACATGAGGATAACAATAAAACCTACTTCCTAGGGTTGTGAAGATAAAAGGAAATAGTATGTACAAATTACTTTGTAAATTTTAAAGTGCTGTATAAACGCTAGCCATGATAATACTCCATCTTCCTTCCATGTGTCTTTGCACTGGTTGGCACCCATGACTAAAGTACACACCCTCCATCTTTCAGAATTTTTTGTTTCCTTCAAACTTGGAAGAATCACTACTGCTTACATCAGTGGTTCCCATTTAGTGGTTTGAGAATCCCTTGAAAGTTCTCAAAGATAATCCAAGATGGCACCTTAAGCAATAAATGACCAACCGTTTCAAATATATTCTATCATCTCAAGCATGCATGTTTTTTTAAGCATGTATGTTTTATATGACATAACTTTTAACTTGGAGCTTTGGGGTCAAAAGTTATCATTTTAGTTATTATAAACCCTTAATGAATAATTCTGAAAGAATATTGTGACCAGTACATTAAATTACCCTGGGAGTTCACTCCTTAAGGGCAGGGCCTCATTTTTGTCTTTGTTATCTCCATAGCCTAACCATTACTAGAACACAGTAATAGGTATTTAATACTTACTCATTGACTGCTTATGTGTCAAGACACTATGTGTGTGTATCAGATGGGGATGGGGGGAATGAGAAGGGGTGGAAGAAAGTCACCAAATTTTTAAAACAAAATAAATTTTAATGCATTTTTTAAAAATACATAGCATTTTAGAGGAACAACAGAAAACCAGAGACCTTGTCAAAATTTAAGTTGAAAATCACTGGTCTAAAAGAGCCATAGAAGAAAGCACTGGAGAGAGGGGATTCCTATATCCACATATAGGAATGAGTAAAGACTTTCTTCTTGTAAGAATCATATAATCTTTGACTTTTGGTTTTGGAGGTCATTCAACACTCCTTCACAATGCAAGGATAGTCAAAGACAACCTTGGATACTGAGACCAGCCACTGGTTATTTATGTGAGATGTTAACTCTTTTTGGAAATAGGAGGAAATAGGGAAAAGGGAAGATCCCAGGAGTCACTACAGACTTGAAAATGGAGAGTAAATTGAAAATAGTCCCAAAGAAATGATTTCTAGAAAGCAGCTTTCTAAGGTGAAGTCAATTCATTCATCCTGGGGCCCTTGGGTTTTATTTGCAAACAGATTATTAAAACTACTTAACTACTTAGTAGTTGCTGGAAATTATGTCTTCAGTTTATTAATTTCCAAACACAAAAACCTACCTCCCATCCCCCTGGGTTAGGCATTAGTGACTGCCTACCAGCAATCTTCCCATAGACCCTAATAAAGATAATAAAGAAGGTAATTTCTGATACTTTTTTCTTAGACTCAAGTTCTTACTCTCCTTTGAGAGTAATTTCCACTGCTATTATTAACCAGTGAATCTGACTGGTTTAAGGGCACCAAACAATTCTAGAATTATAAGAGTCAAGGACAGCAGATTTTCCTAATGGTCAACCAAAGGTGAGAAGTTTCAACCTGAAAAAATATTCAAGTACTGTAATTAAAGTGGCCATTATACTAAGAATATAGACAATCAATAAAAGGCCAAAATACTAATAATATTCAATGTGAATAGAATCAAAGCAATACGATAAAAGAATAGCAGAGAGCTAACCCTAGAATTTGGAAGACCTGGGGTCAAATCCTGCCTTTTACACATATTAGCTGTGTGACCCCTGGCCAGTCATTTAACTTCTGAGTCTGTTGGCAATTCTCTTAAGACTTGAAGATGCAGAGTTATTCTTCTACATCAGTGAAATGAAGTTCCATATAATCACAAAATCACAGATCTTGACGTTTCCTTCCCCTCCCCATAAAAATTAATTTATAGGCTGTGCTTTGCAGTGACAACTTTTTCTATCGGCTCAGATCATATTTCCCCCAGTACTTACTCATTATCTCTTGGTTAACAAAGGAGGAGTAAGGACCCACATCACAAAAGTGGATCGTACAAATAGGAGCTTCCGTGTGCCTGTGAGTCTCTCCCTTCCCAGATCTCCTATATCCCAAACACAGAGAGCATACCATGGGCAACTGAATCTCTGCATTCACTTGCAACACCAAAGTTTTCAAAAGCACAAAATGTACTCAAAGAACTCCAGAAGATTAAGGGCTTAATATTCAACAAACTTTACTAAGAAAAAAAATTAAGTCTTTCTTTCTGCAAGCTGAGCAACAGGTTTTAGTGTCTCACTGGGAAGCTGTAAGATGTCCCTGGATAAGATCCTGAACTCTAGACAAAATAATTTCATTTGAACTGCTGCAGTCTTCAGGTCCATAGGGTGGCTCTATGGTCAGGACCCCAGCAACGCAGAGGGTGCTTTGTGACTCTCCCTGTTCAGTGATGGGGATGTGATTCTTCTCCAGCCAGGACTTCAGGCTGATCTTCCTTTTTTCCAGGTCCTCAGGGTTGTAGGCCTTACTCTCTTCTGGCATGAACATATGGATCAGTTTCTCTCTCACTTCCTGGTTGTCTTCATTCAAAGTTTCAACAGTCTGCACAGCGTGTCCCATGACTCCAGTCACAGCCACAGTGCCATCTTCGAGAAAATTCACAAGGACGATACTTTGGGATGAGAGAAAATACACAGCAAGGGAATGAACAAAGGATTAGATCAACTGTCAATGCCTAGCTCTTCTCAGCAATATAATGATCTAAGACAATTCCAAAGGGACTAATGATAAAAAATGCTATTCTACATCCAGAGAAAGAACCAATAGTCTGAATGCAGATTGAAGCATAATATTTTTCACTTTATTTTTTTGTGTTTTGGGAGGTCTTTGTCTTCTTTTACAATATGACTAATACAGAAATATGTTTTGCATGTTTGCATATGCATAACCTCTATCAAACTGCTTACCATATCAGGGAGGGGGGGAAAGGAAGGAGGGAGGGAGAGAATTTGAAACTCAAAATTCTAAAAAATGAATGTTAAAAATTGCTTTTTTATGTAATGGGGGAAAAAACAGAAGTATGTTTTTTTACAAAGACACAGGAGTTCATTCATTCATCAAGCATTTATATTAGCTGCCTATAATATGCATGGCAGTGTTCAAAATGTCTACTCTTACATGACCAAACTCTAAGTAGAGGTTTATATGATACAAAACCAAGGGTTTAAAAAATGTAGGACAGAGAGAGGTAGGAATCATTCTGGGCTCCATCCAACTCAATGGATGACCCTCAACAATTAACTCAGTTTCCTAAGCCTATTTGAAGATGGGATAAATGTTCATAAAGAGGTGCTATAGTTTAGGATGTAAATATAATAAATTCAACATTAGGAGCACAGGATTTGCTTGTTCCACACACCCCTGTATGTCACTTTAAAATACATTTTAAACAGAATGAAGAGACATACGCAGGTCTCCCTGCTCTGAACACCTATGATGGCCTCGTTCTAGCTACTTCTGTTTCCCTAGCTCTCCCAAGTTGGGAGAGTTATGCCTAATGAATGAAGATCACTTATCTGCTACGAGAAAAATGTTCATAATGTATGAGGGCCATCAAAATTCTAGATGGCTTAGAGTAACTGTTAGTGCTCTGGCTATTGCTGATTAATCTCTTTCACCATTCACTCAGTCACCATTTCCCTGTCACAGTCCCCCATGCCAGAAGATGGAGCACTAATCTGCCTATAGAAGCTACAGATTCCTGCAGGAAAGGTCAATGAAAAAGAAACAGAGGAGAGAAACTTGAGAATTACTTCCTTCAGCTTGCTGCCTAATTTTTTAAAGGAACTATATACATTTTATTAACAGATCTTTCCTCTCTCACTTCACACAACACTTTTATTTTACAACTCTAGTGCCTTATGATATAATATCAAATATTACTGTTATCTGCTGCCCTCTCTCATAAACTTTCATGAGGGCAGGAACCAGGGCTTATCAAGCACAAGGCTGGATAAAATGTAGGTGCTTAATGTTTGCTGAATGAAAGAATGGAGGAGGCTCTTACCACCACTGATCCACCAGGACAGGAATAGTAGAGGGGCTCTAGGTTTCCTCCTCTTAACTCTCTCTGTGCTAGCCCCTAGTTCTCTCTGTCCATCGATAAAAGGGGGAGAGAGAAGGGAAAGGCCTTAGCGCAAAGGCAACTACAGGTGTACCTTGTTTTATGCAACAGGTGTGCTGCTTTTAAAACTGAATAAATCACTTTTTAGAAAATCATTCATCCAAATATTCATTCAATAAATATTTGATCACTCAGCTTATTACCACAATGACCAGAAAATGATGAATTTTGAGGCCCAAGACACTCTCAAAAATTGTTTATTAATTAACAGAATAGGTGTCATCTGCTTTGGTAGCAGGTATAGCCATAGTCACAAGACTAAAGATCCTGGGGGTGCTTTAGTATCTTCTGGATATTGAGCGCTGTTTGTGGTGGAATGGAAGCTTTTCAGGACACGGACGGTCAGCCTCACTCTTGTACTCCTGTCACCAGTGGCTGGATGACTGCCTGGTACAGGAGGTGCTGAACATTAAATGTGAGCTTGCTTGTTGTCTGTGGATTTCTGGTTGTCGGCTGTCAGAAGTCCCTAAAGCTTTACTGAAAACTTTTGGTCCAATTCTCTGCCCTCAGCATCTAAAGGAAGCAGGAGCAGCATCGAAGAACAATGGACAGGGTCACAAGTCCTCCCTTCAGTCTCGCTGCAGTATATATGAGCTGCATGGCCTTGCACAAGTCACTTAGCTCTCACTGCCCCCAACAATGACAGCAGGAACTTCACTGGCAGAGAGTCACCTTAGAGGGTATTTCTCATACCAAAGAAATCATGGGTTTGGTTTCCCCCCGCCAGCAGGGAAATGAATGCTCTCGTGATTCGATAACAGATATTTATTAAATGCCCGTTTCATAGAAGGCACAATGCCATCAGGAAAAGAACGATAATCACTCCCTAACATCTGGTTTTTAAGCATGGACTTTAATATACTGTCACACTGATACACCTTATGGATAAGAAACATAGGGAGAGTGGGAATAAAGTTAAAGAACTCAGCCTTAATTACAAAGAGATGACACACCATGCCATACTCACTTGGCAGAGACTGGGTCTGTTGTTAAAACCCATCCTTTATATTCATTCTTCTCACTAGCTGTCACTCTGACTTCTTTATATACATAGTCTTGCCATTCTAATGGGCTTTTCTTCATCCATTCACTCATGGTCGTCAGCTAGAACAATTCAAGCAACAACAATTTCAGATTTTAGAAATGAAGGCAATGCAAGATGACTCGGTATGCCTATTGTGCCCACTAAGGCCCCAAGAATATCAGTGATTCACCATATGTTCTAAAGCATTTTAAGAACCAAGGTGCTGAACTCCTGGCAGAACTGGATTAAAATGTAATCAGGAAATGTTTAACAAAATAAAGATACAACATAGATAATATTAATTTGTGATTTAAATCAATATGAAGCCTGCTGCAATTTTTTTCTATTTGTTTGACACTATTAGGTAAGAACTTAAAGGTTCTACAGCACTGTTTTGGAGGAAAAGGTCTTGTCTCCGCCCTTAAATTAAAAACAGTTGAGGCAGACAACATAAAAGCATGAGGAAGTTTAAGAACAATTACAAAAGAACATTACGAGCCAACACAACCAAGAGAACTGGGCTATAGTACCAGCTCTCACCATCAGACTAATGGGATATATGCAGGATTCCTGGTTTCCTTCAAATCTCAGCTCAACTGCCAACTTCTCAAAAAGGTGTTTCCTGATGCCCTCAACTACGACTGCCCCTCCCCCCAAATACCCTTGCATTTACTTTGTGTGTGTATATACATAAATGTAACTTCCTTGTTAAATGTGTAAGCCCCTAGAGGGAGGGACATTTCAATTCTTTTATATGTGTATCTTCCAAACTAGCACAAAGCAGACACTGAAAAATGCCTGGTGGTAAAATGAAGTTGCACTGGATAATAGCTACCTGTCCAGCTCTAACCTCTTACACATCAACTATGCTATCATCTATTGTTCATACTACAGTGGCCCAGTAGATAGTATTGGACTTGAAGCCTTTAGAGCCAAATTCTAATCCTGCCTCAGAGGATGACTAGCCGTGTGACCCAGGAAAAGTCACCTAAATTTGCTAAGCCCATTTCCTCATCTGTAACATGGGGACAAATGCCATCACCTAACTCATGGGGCTGTGATGGGGATCAAATGAGACAATATATGCAAAGTACTTTGCAAATCTTAAAGCCTTATTGTTACTTAGTTTTGCCCGGTGAATGGAGTGCTGAATTCAGACATCGGGAAGACCTGAATCCAAATCAATCATTTATTAAGAGCCTACTATGTGCCACGCACCGTGCTAAGCAAATCCTCTCTCACACTTACTAGTTGTGTGACCTAAGGCATATCACTGAACCTGTCTGGGCTTCAGTTTCCCTATTTGAAAGAGGGTTAATAATGTGGGTAGTACCTACACTTCACTGGGTTATTGTGAAACTAAATGATCATGTATGTAAAGCACATTTACCCGGCTGTCAGCTCTACTCAACAAGTTTTTATTACAGCATGCCGAGGAGTGGAATCAGCTAATCCAGGGGTGGGGAACCAGAGGCCTCCAGGCCACGTGCGGCCCTCCAGGTCCTCAAGTGCGGCCCTCTGACCCCCAAACCCGCACTTGAGGGCCTAACGGGCCACGTGTGGCCTCGAGGCCGCAGGTTCCCCACCCCTGAATACCACCCCACCAACGAACACCTAATAAGTGCCTACTATGTGCCAGGCACGGTGCTGCGAGCACTCACACCACTCTTCGACTCTGACCGAAGAGGCCCAGGCCTGGTCCCGGGCCTGATGACCCCGGCTCTATTTTAGTCAAAGTTCGAGGCGAAGAATCGATGCCATCAATCGGCGGGGCCGCCAGGCAGCGCTGAGAACAGGAGGAGGCAGGGCATGGGTCAAATAGAGACCTGACCCTCCGCACAGGCCGTGTGACCTTGAGGGAGTCGTTTAACCGCTCCGTGCCTCACATCCCTCATCAATAAAATGGGGATAAAAACAGCACCTACCTCGGGGGGGAGGGGGAGTGAGGATAAGTGCGGTATCGGCAAAGCTTTCAATGTGCTCTCAATGCTAGCTATTCAAAGAAGCCGTCTTCCCCGCCCCGCCGGTCACGAGAGCCCACCTCTGCGCTGGCCCCCAGGCCTCCCCGGAGCTCCTCTCCCTCACGCGGGAAGCGCCCGAGCCGGCCGAGCGCGAGACCCTGCCGGGCGCACGCGCCCGCCGCGCTCAAGCGCTCCACGCTGAGACCAGCATGCCTCGCTCTCCCTCTCGTCACTTCCTTTACCCAGGATCCTCCGTTTTGTAGTCCTACGTCTAATACAAGGCCCAGAACTGACCCGGGTTGCGTAGCAGTGCGCCTCTTCAGGGCACGTAGGGCTAAGGATTTTGTAGTACTATCGTTTCTGTAGCGTCTGACTCTTCTTGACCCCTTTTGGGGTTTTCTTGGCAAAGATACTGGAGTGGTTTGCTGTTTCCTTCTCCAGCTCATTTTCGAGATTGCCCAGTAAGTGTCTGAGGTTGGATTTGAACTCAGGCCCTCCAGACTCCAGGTCCGGCATTCTATCCACTGCAGCCACCTGGCTACTTGCTAATAAAGCGAGAACTTTAATAGTCATAGACTTGGGGCAGGAGTAACCTTTGGAGTCATATAGCTCAAGCTATTTTAAAACTTTTATTTATCCTTCCTCCTCTTTCCACTCCCCTCATTTTTACACATGAGGAAACTGAGGCCCAGAGAGGGTAATACAGGGGCGGAGGGCAGATTTCGACCCTGACCAGCATGGCACATTCCTCCATGGACCTCAGTGCCTACTTACAAACGAGCCCTTACAGCTCTTTAAAGCCCACGTGCTGGGCCCAGTGGCATCCTGCAGGGAGATTTTTATTTTCCAGTCTGATGCTTAGTGTTTTGGGGTGGCTTAGGAATAGTCCAGGGAGGAAGTGAAGATTGAAGATGATGAACTGCGTCAGTGACCTCCACATCCAGCTAGCTAAGCACATTTCAATGAAACCAGGGCACTTCCCCCACCCCCACTCCAACCCCACTATAGAGATAATACAGATTACTCTGCCATTTACCTGCTCCAGGTGGCCCCTGAGATGGGTCCAACCTGTAAGTCCTTACCTAAATTATGCTATGTTATTAACGTGGTGAAAACATGAAGCACAATCATTTCATGTCGTCTTGATGGATTAACAATATAGAATTCCCTTCAACCACCTGGTGAGAAATGCAGGGACACAGTATGTCACATCCACTGTTTTAACAGACACTTGCTGTCTTTGGATAAGAGAACCTGCAGTTTTATCTAAAAGGATTGTTGATAAAATAAATTAATAAAATTTTTTTAAGTTGTACTAATCCTCACTTATTTGATTATTCGTAAGGTTGAGTATTTTTTCAAGTGGTTAACATTTTCTGATACTTCTTTTGAAAATTGTATGTTCATGTCCTTTGTTCATTTATCTGTTGTGAACTGAGTTACCCAGTTACTTTTTATAGTTCCTTATATATTTTAGATGTCAAGTTTTTATCTGTCATATTTGCCAAAAAATAATAAATCACTTGAAGGGGATGTTCTAGTAGGAATTCCTTTTGTGTATAGGTCAGATTAGATGGCCACTAAGGTCCCTTCTAACTCTCAAATTCAACTATTTTCATCCATTGACTTTTTAAATTAATTAGGGACTCATTTATACCTACTTTAAGAGCAATAACTATTTTTGCTTTTGCTTTTTATACTCAGTACTTAGCATAGTACCTAGCACATAGTAAGGAATTAACAAATGTTTGTTGATTGATGAATTGACTCCAGAGCAGTGGCCCCTCTCTGCTCTCCTTACTCAGAACAATTTGCTAGGCAGAGAAGGGGAAGAATCCCTACCAGGGGTGGGGAACTTGTGGCCTTCAGGCCACATGTGGCCCTCTGGGTCCCCAACTGCAGCCCTTTGCCTGAATACAAACCTCACCTGAACAAATCCCCTTGATAAAAGGATTTGTTCTCTAAAATATGGTCTCAGTCAAAAGGTCACGCCCAAGGAACTAGAAGGCCACATATGGCCTCAAGGCTGCAGGTTCCCCACCCCTGCACCTAGGCCTTTTCAGACAAACCATAGCTCAAAGATCTCATAGGAAGAAAAGTTTGATAATCCAGGAAGGGCAAAACTTTGAGGGAAAGAAAAGGATGGGGGGAACCAAAGGCATCCCCGTGGCCCTCTATCAGAGCTAAGGCACTGTACTCCCTTCCCAGGATCTGTGCTCCAACCCCTTACCCTGCAAAGAGCTTCCCTCTCCTTGGGCACAACTTGGGCAAGGGTGCTGCTTCCCTGAATCAGCCTGGAGGTTTTGCTGTCCTCTCTACCTAGGCAGAATCCCTGAAGCACCATTGCTAACAGGAATCCCCTTATTTTTACAGATGAGAACACTGGAACCTAGAGAGATGAAGTGTCTTATCTTAGATCACACCAGGTTCTTTTGACTGTTTGATAATCCAGGCATTTGGCTGCTTGTACCTTCCCAGGAGCAAATACAAAATGCTCTATTTCACATTCAAAGCCCTCCATAACCTAGCTCCACTGTTCCTAACCTTTTCAGGCTTCTTATACCTTTCTCCCAGACTTGTATTCTTCAATCCAGTGACACTGACCTCCTTAATGTTTCATTAATAATACACTCTTTATCTCTCAGCTCCAGGCATTTTCTCTGGCTGTTGCCCAAGGCTGGAATGCTCTCCCTCCTTATGTCTGCCTACTTCTGACCTACCTCATTTCCTTTAAGTCCCAATTAAAATGACTTCTTTTACTAGAAGCCTTCCCCAACCCTCCTTAATTCTAATGCTATCCCTGTTAGCTACTTCCTATTTATCCTATAGATAACTTGCTTTGAATATATTTGTTTTCATGCTGTTTCTCTCCCCACTTAGAATGTAAGCTCCTTGAGGGCAGGGATTGTTTTTTGCCTCTTTCTGTATCCCCAGTGCTTAGCACAATGCCTGGCATATAGTAGACATTACTAAATGTTTGATTGATTAATTGAAAAAGTTTGAATGATTAATTGATAAATTCAAAAAAATTAAGCCCTGATAGATCTTATCTTTGGGAATGTGCTGACTAAGGAGGATTGGAAAGAGAAGAACATGGAATCCACCTGAATATATATATATACTAGTTCCTGTTTCTTTGCTTACCAAGAATTTTGATCCATCATGGATAATCTGTCAATAGAAGAGATTCAGCTAAGGGCTCACCAGATGACTGATGAGTCCCTGGAAAGCAGGAGAATCCCAGGCATTGAGTCTCAGGATGCAGGCATCAAAACCATCACTATTCTGGATGAAAAAGGGGAAAAACTGAACCACGTAGAAGGAGGTGTGGACCAAATAAGCAAAGACATGAGAGAGATGGAGAAGATGTTAACAAGCTCAGCAAGTGTTGTGGCCTTTGGGTTTGCCCTTGGAATAAGTCAACAAGTTTTCAGTTTGGTAATGTCTGTAAGGCAACATGGACTGAAGGCAGAGACTACTCACCTATAGTGTGGTTTCTAAGCAGCCAGGCGGTATGACAATCAGCCTCAGCAAAGAGCTGAAGGAGCCAATGGTAGAAACATTAAACAGATAACTAATGTTGTCCAGAGAAGATGAAAAGGAAGAAAATTTGACTCAGGTGGGCAGTATCCTGGGGAATTTGAAAAACATGGCCATAGAGATGGGCAATGAGATTGACTCTCAGAACAAGCCAATAGGATTACCAAGAAGACTGATACTAACAAAGATTATATTGACATTGACGTTGCCAATGCCAGAGCAAAGAAACTCATTGACAGCTAAAGATGTTGCTGCTGCCTTCATCTGGGAATTCTTTCATCTGCAATTTCCTCCAGCTTCTCCTGAATCACCACCTTTCTGAGTTTGAAATTTCTTTGTGCCAACCCTTTCTAAGCAAAGAGGGGAAGAAAAAGTGAAATGAGTGAAACAGATTCCTACTAGATGGCTTCTAATTCTCACTCTTTTCCCTAGTGAGCAAATTGATATAAACCATTCAGTCTTTCCTATGGGGTTCTCTTCCTCAATGTACGGGTTGAGATTGTGTTGCAGACTTTAAAATTATTATACATCCTTCTTTTTCCACCTGAGCAGACTCTTTTGCTTTCAGGATTTTCAAATATTGACAAAAAGGCAGCAGGAAGGAGGGAGGGGAGTAGAGAAGGAATGGGTGAGGTTTGGGGGGATTATTTGTTGCTGCTTCTGTTATATCAGTAAAAGTGCCACAGGCCCTAACTCTATGGAAAAGTTACATAGAGAAAATGTTCTGTCATCTGCCATTCCCCTTTGAAAATTTAACTGGGTTCATTGCCAATTTAAATGACTCTGAGCAAGTGCTTAACCTCTCAGTGCCCTGGGCAGCTCTTTATGAGGATATAAGTTGCTGAACATGTGCATATCTGCATTGGTAGAGGGAGCTGGCTGTCTTGTACTGGGAGTTCCCTACACGGATGAAATCACAGGCCGAGACCAAAAACAAAATAAAGTCCTTAAGGTAAGGGTCGTAAATAACCCATTGACTATTATTTGGATTTAGAGATTAAAAAATTTTAAATCATAAAAACTTTTTTTAAGTAAAGGAACTTAATTTCTCCCCAAATGATTGCTATATAGACATATGTTTTATGATCCCAGTTCATGCTGCATCCTCTGGGAACACTTTATATAAGTTTGTGATTTAAAATAAATAATATTTTTAGCCTCATGTCCCCATTACAAGCCTGAATCCTCATTAATTTTAGTGTGAATGTCATTTGTTTTTGAGAATATATAATTCACAGGTTAAATATCAACATTTCTTTAAAGGTTGACAAAGTTAGCAAAATGTATAAATTAAAGATTACCTCAAAACCAGGCCTGGTTCAGTATTGGGAAATTATAAGCATAATTTACATATCAATAAGAAAATCAATAAAAATCATATGATTATCTCAATAGATGCAGAAAAAGCTTTTGACAAAATATAATTCCCATTCCTAGTAGAAACACTAGAAAGCATAGGAATCAATGGAACTTTTTTAAAAACGATAAGTAGTATCTATCTAAAACCAAGAGCAAACATTATCTGTAATGTAATGGGGATAAAATAGAAGCCTTCCCAATAAGATCAAAGGTGAAGTAAGGATGTCCATTATCAACATTATTATTTGATCTTGTACTAGACATGCTAGCTATATCAATAAGAAAAGGA